AATTTACAATTAATAAACACTTCCTGTTCCCCTTTCTTAAGTTCATGATACTCACACATCACTCGGACAATTGACAGTTTTTGCTTCTTCACTTTCTTCAGTACAGGACACGTTTGTCTCACTCTGTTCCTCTTCCTCTACAGCACCTCCCTCCTCGTTCTCTTCTTCAGTCTCAACAACATTCGTTGAAGTTTGCTCTTCCTCTGAGTCGCCCTGTCCAGTCAGCACAACACTGGGCTCCTCCTGTTCCTCTTCAAGTTTTAAATATTCAAAACTGACCTCATCTTCTGAGTCGTCAGTCTCTTCAAGAGTATCAATTAAGTCCACAGTTTCAACGGGATCTGAGGTTGCTGAGTGGCCCTCCTCTTCTTCTGATTCTGTCGTCAGTGGGATTTCTGATTTTTTTAGAAGACAGTGAACATCACAGTTTTGCATTTAAACCAGAAACAAAAAATGAGCAGGCCATAAGCATTCACAGAAATCAACAATCAAGAGACTGAAAACTAAGCAACAAATGGAAAAAACATTTCCTATGGAACACCTAATGAAGATGACAGAGTAACACGTACTGTTATTACCGTCTATCAGCTCATGCGCTGAATCTTGCTTTTCCTGTGCCGTCGGCTCTTGCACATCTGCAGCATCACATGCCTGGAAATTGCAACACAGGCCATCGATCGTGAACATGAGTTGTGCGAGAAAGCTTGTGATTGCCAGTGGGTTCATGCGTAGGCATACTGAGCCTCATCTGACCAACATTAAGTCCACTCTATTCCTCCCACCTCTGCTCAACCTGCTACAGTAACCCAAACACGTATCTCTAAAGAAATAAAGGCTGTGGTGGTGAGGGAAGTCAAGTCAATGCTCAGTGAAGGAAGAGTTAGTGACACAGGAAACTGTATCTGAACACGGAAAAAGAAAATAGAAATAGACAAAATTCTAAATAATGACATACATCTCACTTTTTATCTCCTTCCATCAATACATACCTCAGAGCCGCTTCCTGTCCACTCTAAATTTGGGTTCAAAAGTTGTGAATCAAACCCATCTTCTTGCTCTCTGGCCTCCGGTGCGAAAAGCTCAGCATTAATGTCTTGCGAATGGTGAAGTGATGGGGAAGTGCTGCCTACCCTCGTCACGCTGCTAGAGTCTAGCTCATTGGCCAAGCTGCTGTCAGTCATGAGTGGAGATGTGGGATCAGGCATGTCCCACTGCACTGTGGCAAAGGAAAGCAGGGGACTGGTGCAGGTCATGGGGTGCACCGGCCATATTATTTGCTCCCACGGTTCTGCCTCCTCAGAAGTGTCTCGTCCTGCCTTCGGGGAGAGACTGAGCTGATCTGTCCCGTCTGCCTGGTTCATCTGTACCTCTGTCTCGCCCCACACTATGGTCTGCTGTTCTCCATTGATGTGCAGGTGGTCTATAGGGGTCCATGAGTCTTGTTGAGGCTGCTGAGGGACTGAATCTGTAATATCTGGCAGTGAGGAGCACACGTCTTCCTCCTCCATTAGCATGTATCTAAGTTAGTTCCTGGTCGAGTGTTTGTGGGTTCTGGTGAAAGGTAATGGAGCTTGTTACAAAATGTCCTTCTCTGCTGTCTGAAGGATGATCATTTTGAAAGATCAGATAAATGTAAAATCCTGAAGCAGGTTACAACTTCCAAACGGCGCCATTCACAGATCTGCAACAAGAGAAAAAACCCTGTCAATGTTGAAAACTATTTTACCACACACCCATCTGAACACGCCTGATATGGTGTGACAACAAATGCAAAAGTGTTCTGTATTTGAATTCCACATTTAAAAGAGCATTTTGGGGAACCTCCAGGAAGAGCATCTGATTAGCTGATACACAAAAAAGCCATTCATAAAACAAAGCTATATTTGGTTGTAGTGTAAAAGTGATGTCTTTACAGAGCCTCTGTATTGTTTTCTATTCATCTGTGAGAAAAGAATCCATCGAAAACTACCGCAGGCAGCACATTAAATTTCACACGACACTGCAAGCAAAAGCAAAGCTGAAATAAAATCATTTACACCCCCTGAAAGCACAAAAATACTCCACACTCACCGCTTGTGTCAACATAATCCAGTTTAAAGAAGATATTTACCAGTTTTTTAGCCTGTGCTGTTCATTTATGAATTTTTTTGACTTCTCGGTGTGGCACTGCAGATGTGCAGTGCACTAGACTTTTACTGAAATGTCACAAAAGCATGTTTCTACTTCCTGACCACAGACACACACAGAAATCAGCCGAGCAACTCAGCAAGAGAGCAAGAGAGAAAGAGGTGTACAGTGCGGATTAAGAGAGAAGCAGAGGGTGGGGTTCAGGGGTCTTTCTGGTGAGCAGTTAAACAGTCTTTAACTGCGTTTCTGCATTTATCATTTATCACCACGCTGCACTGTGACACTGGGCAAAGGATAAAACCGTCAGAGTCCAAATTTGAGCTTCATGTTGTCAACAGAACTTAGTGGTTTTTACGATAAACTATGAGGTGTGACAATAATTTCACACCTTATAGTTTATTCTTTTTTCCTACTTCCTACTCTCACCTTTATTTATTTCTCTCTTTTCAATTTTCATTATTCTATTCACCTCCTGCAACCAACATCCGGGACAGGCCTTGAACACATTTCCTGTGTGGTCGCTTATTTCAGTTCCTGTCGGGCTAAACAAGTGCTACAGTAACGTACGCAAGTTAAGGAGGACTTTCTGTAAATGAATCACTCTGTGTTCAAAACCAAAAAAATTCGAAGATAACAAAACCTAAATATTTTAAAAGCAGCACTGTCTCTCTTGAAGTTCATACTGTCAGTGAGAATCTGACCGTTTAATAAACTGACAGTACTGATTAAAATCTCTCTACTCTATTGTGTGTTCAACATGATAACACAGTTAATCTTATGTGTGTGTTTTGTTATTTTTGGCAGCATTGTTGACAATAAAAACTGTAAGAGAAAGTCTCAGACGACAGAAAGAAACACGTTCTCACCCTCATCATAGAGAGAAAAACAATAGAGCAGGATACTTTCAGCCAAACGTTGAGCAACTCCAGTCTGCTGGTGTGTCTAACAAGTAGTGTTGCTTACAGTGCATGGAGGCTTGAGAGGATGGTTAACACAACACCAAAGGAGAAGTACAAATATTAAAAAAGAAAACACAATAGAGAGGATAAAATAAAAAGAGGAACACAGCCATACTGGGGAAAATGAAAGTTGCAAAACGACTCATGAATATGTGTGTGTATAATACTAGAATTCATATAAATGGACAACAACGCCTAGTGTGTCATTCATTCATTAACATGGCACAGAAAATTTAAACCAACCTCAAAGAGCTAAAAAAAAAAAATAAAAATCTCATTAAGAAGAATCATTTCAACTGTGAATCATGACTTACCACCTCCAGGCTCTTTAAAGCAACATCATATGATCAGGCGGCTTGTGAGGGTTTAAGTCAAGTCTTGTGGGAGGGAAAGACACACCACTGTGTTATACCGGGGTTATACCGCTGTCAGAGAGCTGGCTCTTCACAGGCATATTCACCCACACACATGCACACAAGCATACAAATAACCCTCAGTTGATTAGGTCTGAACCTACTGCGCACAACAAACAAGCCTCACATCCGCCGAGCTGAGTTTTAAGTCTGTGGTGTTGCATAAAGATGCATGCAAGTCACAAATTCTAGTCTGGACTGGGTCCTCCTTCTTCTTTGTGCATCCTGTCAGTTTTCAGACAGCTCAAGATGAGACCTCCATATCCCTCCGTCCTGTTCTCGTCTCCCTGCAGATATGGCTGGGGGGAGAAAAAAAAAAAGGGAAGAATTTAGAGGACGGATGGAAGGGGAAAGCTGCTAAGTGGCAACAAAGAGGAAGAAAACGCACATTGTGATTGGCAGATGACTCAAGAGCGCACAGACACCTGAGAGGCCTCAACCCACACCCACTGGCCCGAAGGCATGCAGGCAAACACATACTAGGTCAGGTGAGGGGAGTGGCTCAGCTCTTCCTCAAACTAACACAGGAATGATGTGGTAAAACCAGCTGGTATCCAGATTCAATAAGTCATTACCCACACTGGAATTAGCTGTGTCTCTTGCTATTGGTTTACTGGCTTGGTGTCTGGATGGGTAGAAAAGCCTGTTTAACACAGACATGACAGCATTTTATAAAACTGGAGTAAACCGGCTGCATATATATCTGTTTATAGACTTGCTTCTATTTTTAAATTGGGTGTTATTATTTAACTTTACCACTTTTAAAAAATAATAGTTTCAGCAGCATTACTGTTTGCACTCTTTACAGCATCACTATTTACACACATTAGTTGCAGTAGCATTTAGCAAGAGCAGCATTGTTATTTTTCGCCACTTTGTATTTTCATTTAAATTATAATTAGCTTTGTTGTCAGAAAACGTTGTCTTAGGTTATAGCACAGTTAACTACCAATTAGCAGATTAGCTGGGTAAAAGCCTACTAATTTAACTAGTTAACTAACCTAAAAGTTAAATTAACGTTAATAATATTATGTAACGTTGCTATTCAACTGTTTTTACATGATTAGCATTGTTATTATCACTCTAAGCAGCATAAACAGTGTAAGCAAAATCCCATTAGCATGATTAGCAGTCTGATGACCGGTGGTATTAAAATCGTAGCATTACCTAGTTAGCATTTATGAGAGCATCCTTGCAGCTGTAGTGAGTTATAGCTGCTAGTGGCTGTACAAAGCTGATGTTACTAGTACAGGTACGAGTAGTAGTGTCAGTACTAGTGACCCTGGAAGTGCTGTAAGTTACAACTGTTTTCTTGTTGTTATTTAAACACCATTTATCACCGTGGTTATTTGTGTTTATCACAGTAACGTCTGTTCGGGCCCCGGCTCATCCAGCGGCTCCACTCCGCACCGGCAGGGGGCGCTACCGACCCCCGTGAGCTGTCAGAAACACAACCACTCCTCGCCGTCACTTTCATGCGACTGTGTCTGCTTTTGTTTGTTCCGCACACGGCAGCAGAGCCGCACACACACACACGCACACACACCACACACCCACTTTCTCCTCCGGTTACTTTTCAACCGTGTACAAACCACCCGGCGAGTCTCCTGCAGCCTGCAGCCGCGCCCGGCTCTAACATGGCCAAGTCGAGTGATCTGAAAATCTTCCTTGAGTCGTCTTTGAACGAGATCTTTAAAGCGACAGTGAGCGACATCCTGGACTCAGTGGACCGGACCCTGTCCGAGTACCAGGGCACGATACAGAGGATCGAGTCTGAAAACGAGGGCCTGAAGCGGCTGCTGTTTGCACACAGGAGCACAGAGTCTGGTCCCAGAGGTATGGTTGTCTACACTCGGTTGGTAATGTCTGTCTGTGCTTGTCACCGTGCAGCTTCATGCAGCTACTGACCTTTTGTTCATGCATTGCCTGCACTGTCAGCGAACTGTGCCTGTGCTGTGTTTAGTGTGTATTCACCTGAACAAAAAAATAACAAAGGCAGCGTGAGAAGCAGACATTCAGTACATTCAAAACAGGGCTGTGCAGAAGGTTTATGAGGTGTCACTGTGTAATGCAGCAGTAATTACAGTGTACTAGTGACAGTAATGTTACTATCACAACATCCTCCCCACACTAATGGCAACACGGTATATCTCTGGGTACATGAGGGTGTAAATATGTAACCCATTAACATATATCATGATCTTCACTTACACTATTTAATTTTAATGTTTTACATATTGCCGTAAATAATCTGTGAAGCTCTCTTGTATGAAATGCACCAAATGACAATGGTGCGGTTGTAGTGGCAAATAATTGTCGCACATTATCACCCAACCCTGCTTTCGGTTCATTGTTTTGTTTTTTGTTTTTCTGGCCCGCAACTCCTCTCAGTTCCACCTCATTTCCAGTTGTTAACAGGCAGCTATTTCTGGAAAATAAAAGCCCTAATAAACCCTCTACCTGTCATACACCCGACAGACAAAGTGAGCAACAAGCTGCTGAACATAGTGGGGCATTTAGCTACTAAATGGAGAGTGAATATTGAGCTTGGATTTCTCAGGTAACCAGAAACACAGCTCCAAATGAAAGCTTATGTTGCTCCGTGTCGGCTGGATGTGTAATGAGAATAATAAGAATAAGAAGTGCCCAAAAATGTGACTTATGCAGCTTTAAATTGTAGTGTACTACCGACACTCAGTTGAGTTTGTTCAGGCTGTTTTGTTGCTCCCTCATCCAGTTTTTTGCAGTATTACTGTCAACTAATCAAACATTTCAGCAGCAAGGTAGATGTGTATGACTCTAAATAACATATAAATAACTTTTACAATTATATTTACAATTTCATATTTTTACAGATATTCGTGAACAAGATGCCACTGAAAAGTTTTCGACTGCAGAATGGAACAATCGTCCCATCAACACCACCCAGGGCTCGTTCAAGATGTCCATATGCAGCAGTGACAAGAAGAGCTTCAGGAGGAAGCAGAAAGACAAGATGAGGGGGAGCATATCCTCCGCCACCTTTTTACTGCAGACTGATCACATGGCAGAAAGACCATGTGTGAACACAGCGGAGGTAGGTGTTTCCTCCCAGAGCTCGATATCTGTGAAAACAGAGCCCGGCCTGGATGAAAGCGGTGCTATTGACCTCTCCCAGCCTTCATCCCTTCTCAATCTGACAATGAGGCCAATAAAAAGCGAGGGCGCCGAGGTCAGTTTAGACAGTCACGATGCATATGCACCTCTTTCGCCATCTGCAGGCCTCGAACACGACTCCAGAGGCAGCAACAGTGAAGTTAAAGTCACCATTGTTTCTGACAGTTATATGCAGGATGGACAGTTCATTAAGACAGAGGAGGAGGAGGAGGAGAATGGCGTGTTGCAGTATGGTGACGAGTTGAAGCAGGCGTTGAGGTATTACCCCGAATCAGAAATTGATCCCGAGGGAGCGAACAGACCGGTTGAAGTAGTGACGCACGAGGAAAACGATACGCCTGCTGTTCCCGCAGAAGAGTTTTTGGAGGTTCGCGACAACTTTTTGCGTTGTCCCTCCTGCCCCAAAACATTTAGTCGAGCGACCTCGCTCAACGTCCACATCAAGACTCACAGCGGCGAGAAGGCCCACAGCTGCAGCTACTGCGGTAAGCGCTTTGGCCGGGCCGATCTCCTCAAATCTCACAAGCGCACCCATACGGGAGAGAGACCCTACAGCTGCAACATCTGCAGTAAAACGTACGCCCATCCCAGTCAGCTCAGGATACACAAACGCGTCCACACTGGTGAAAAGCCGTATTCCTGCTCGCACTGCGGCAAGCGCTTCAACGAGCACAACCAACTCAAAGTCCACTTGCGGACTCACACCGGGGAGAGGCCTTACAGCTGCCAGGAGTGCGGCAAAACTTTCAGCAACGCGGGCAACCTGCGTATACACGAGAGGATCCACACTGGTGAGAAGCCGTACTGCTGCGCGCAGTGTGGGAAAAGGTTCAACGGCTTGGGCGACCTCAAAACACATTACAGGATTCACACTGGAGAGAGGCCCTACAGCTGTGAACTGTGTAAGAAGACCTTCAGCCAGGCGGGCCACCTCACCATACACATGCGGATGCACACAGGAGAGAGACCGTACAGCTGCAATGAGTGTGGCAAGAAGTTTACGGTGGCCAGCAGCCTTAAACTGCACCAGAGGACTCACACGGGGGAGAAGGAGTACAGCTGCTCGTACTGCAGCAAGAGCTTCAGCAGGTCAGGGCACCTGAAGAGACACGAACTGGTCCACACCAAAGAGAAGGTCTTCCTCTGCAGCCAGTGTGGAAAGACCTACACTGACCAGTCCTCCCTTAAAAAGCATCTGAAGATGCACGCAGCCAAGGAGCAGAAGGTTCAGAGCGAGGGAAGCACCAGCGAGGCTGAAACCAACCCAGCCCAGCCTTCAGCTCCTGAGACACTTTCAGACACTGAGAGAAATTAAAAAGGAACAAATTATTAGAGAGGAATAATATAAAAACTGAGAATGAATGCTGTGTGATTTTACACAATAATCTTCAATCAAAGTCCGCTTACTAGCCTTCTCAGCACTTTGAAACACATGTCAGAGGGTATTATAAAGTGTTAAAGAGCAGGGTTTTTAGCGTCAGATGAGCCTTTAATTGGTTTCATCTGTTTTAACGCAGGACTGTTTTTGGCCTACGTGCTGTGGCTAGCAGGTGGACCACGAGTTAAGATTATTTCGTCAAACTATGTATGTGATGTTTGTGGTACAGTGCAATACACTGTTGTCTAATCTTTGCTGTGATTTTTAGTAGGTCCAAATATTTAACAACACCATATGGTGGGCTATTTAATTTTGGTTGATAAACTCCTAATGTTGCTCCTAAAGATGTCTCTCTCACGACAGTGTAAAGAGTTACAGTCAGAAAATAAAAAAGAACCGCAGTTCTTTTGACCTTGCTGTATGTTACCACAATGTTTGTGGTATGTTTTTTGAAATGCTTTAAAGGAAAAGAAGAAATATTGAATGCTGTGTGTGTCAGAGAAACACTGTAAGTTCCCCATGGGGGGTCAGTAGAAAATAATATAATTGTTTTAGAATTAAAAGGCTTCTACACACATTTATACAATTTGTAGTAGCTGGAGGTTTAGAAAAGTGTGCTGATTTAAGGTGAAGCTCCTTAATATATTGCTGTATATAGCTTTAACTATACAGTCAACTATACAGTCAACAGTCTGAGCTATTGAACTGACAAGAATGTATTTATGTAATAATGTTACCGAAAATAATATTACTGCAAATACTCAGTATCACTTGACCAGCTTTCAATAGCAAACTAATACTCATTTTGCTAATCTCAAAGAATGTCGAGCTTCTAGAGGATTTGTTTTAGGTTGTTCACTGTTCTACCAGGAAACTCAGACGAGTAAAATGTCATGTTAATGATGATAGGGCTACTGTTTGTTGTGGCAAATGGTTGATATGCCTGCACAGCAATCTATGTTTGTAAAGTGTTTGCTTGTAGAAATGTATTGTGACTTACTTTTGTGTGATTTGTGTCTAAATTAAAGAGAAAAGTTAACTGAAAGGTCTCATTCACACTTCATGTGTATACTTTATTCAAAATGAAAAACCTTATGTTGTATGTTCACTAAAATACAAAGTGCAAATACATTCTGCAAATTCTTTTTTTTTAATATTTAGTGCAAACAGAAAAGCAAATACAAAACAGTATAGAAATAACTGAGATTTCCCTAATACAATGGGGGTGAATGGAATTTATATGGTGCTCAAAACATTGAACAATTACACGTAACAAATTAAAACGTCGTTGTCACTCTGAATTTGGTATCTCTTAGATACCAAGTAATTATTTTCATGATCATATACCGAGAGCCCAAGGTGTCTTCTTCAAGTTATGATGTTGATGTTGTTATGATTGAAAAACAAAAGTATCCTCACACTTTAAAGGCTGGAACCTGATACATTTATTTTATGCTTAAAAATGACCTAAACAATGTTGATAATAATTTTTTTAATGATTTTTATGATTAATTGATTAATCATTTGATCTCTTGTATCTTTATACCATGACAAACGTATACAACCCAAGCTATTTGCATGGCGTTTGGTTTCTGGCATTGAGTTGGATGACAATACCAATACCACTCTCTTGTTTCTCTCAGCGAGCTTGACAGATGCTGGCAGACAGATTTTGTTTCCATTTAATAGAGCCAGACTAGCTGCTTCCAGTCTTTGTGCTAAGCTAAGCTAACTTCCTGCCTGCAGTATGTTTATATTTAAAGGTCCAGTTTGTAACATTTAGGAGGATTTATTTGCAGAAATATATCTTATATATTTTGTAGCGTTTTATATTTACAGACGCTGCAGGTTGCCTTCCATTGAGTCCGCCATGTTGAAGCATCGTGTTTGTACAGTGTCCTAGTAGAAACAGACCAAACACGGGCTCTAGATAGTACTCTTGCATTTTTCACACATTTTGCAGAGTTTCTCCTTTGTTCGGAGGATGAAGGAAGGAAGTTGTGATCTGCAACTATAGTGCTAGATGCCACTAAATCTGGCCACTAAAGGCATCATAAAATCAGTTTTCTATCTAACTGCCAGAAAGCAAATAACCCAATTTCCCAAAATGTCAGACACCTTAAAAGAAATTGTTTCTGTACAGGGATTTAAGAAAAATCTATAAATCTAAACAATAAGTTATTAATTTATTCAGGTCTGCCTCAGAATAGGCAAGAAAGTTCATCTTCAGAGTCATCCTTAGGGGACCCTAACCCTAGGTTGTGAACCAGTGCGCAATAAATCTTTTTAATATTCGATTTCAATATCAGATCAAGCAAGAACATAATATATTCTCCTGTATTTCACAACAACAGTACATTCATATGAAAACCTTTGGAACACACGTATCCCTATTGGATCTAGGTCGCGCTGCTCTGGCAGCAGTTGAGGTTGCATGCCATCTTTTCTTTGGACAGATAGAGCATCGGCTGAATGCTGCTGCTGAAGTCCATCAGGCCAAATGCGACATAGTGAATATAGCATTTAAACACATTAGAAGAGAAGTAGCCCTCGAAGGGGAACAGTGCGACAGGTGGGAAGTAGTTGAACACTATGATGGCCAGGATGATGAGGACCACCTTGAAGGCTCTCTTCTTCACAGGATGCATCTCGTCTCTGCCGGGCCCAGACTGCCTCAGCACCCACAGGATCACAATGTTGCAGAACACCATGAAGGCGAAAGCTGTGAGGATCATCCCTGTGAAGACCTTCTCAAAGTTGACAATGTTGCCTACGCATTTAGCAGCAGCGTAGGCCAGAGTGATCAGCCAGACTACAAAGGCCAGGACCGCTCGGTGTTGACGGTCCTTGAACTTGGTGAAGGTGATGGGGTGGACCACGGCCATGTAGCGGTCTAAGCAGATGCATGAGAGGAGGAGAGGCGAGCAGTCTTTTATGCCGTAGAAGAAGCGCAGGACGTACCAGGTGCTGCTGTTGTTGAGGAAGACTATGTTGGCCAGCTCAAGGGGAGGGATGAGACAGAAGAGTATGTCTAAAACCGCCAAATGAAGGATGAAGATATCTGAGGTGGAAGAATCACCCTTGTTGGTATGGATGAGCCACAGCACCATGAAGTTGGCTGGGATGCCCAGGAACATGTTAATGAACTGCAGGCCCAGGTACCAAATGAGAACTGCAGGCATGTTTTTGCAATCCTCGTACAGCGTCTTCACGCCACTGGTGTCGTTGAGGGGTCTGTGAGAGACAGAGAGCACGGAGGAGTTCATGTATAAAACCTCCATGACGGCCGGATCAGAGAAGGAGGTCGTCAGAGGACGCGAGGAAGGCGAGGAACGAAGATCTGTCAGACAAACAGGAAAGATCAGGTTCTGTTATTAGAGGCAATAGACAGAATAAAATAGAAGTGAAACTAAAGAAGAAGCTATGAGACAAAGATTAAAATAAATAGATATAAAAGTTAATAAACATTGTTAACTTTGAAGAAATTATAGTTGTGATAGTTGTGATGTGGAGGGTTTACTGATGCACTTGTTGTGACATTGTCCACAGGTAAAGAGATTTCAGGCTGATGTATTTAAACCTTTCATGTATTCATAATATCCAAAATGATGATCAGGAATTAGTTAGCTTGGTGGAAAAATGCATGCAAGAAACGACATGGAAAAAGCACACGTTTGACATTTTGGCGAGGATCTTTTGCCTTTATTAGAGAGTCGATAGGATGCCAGGAAATGAGAGGAAATGGAAATGACTTATGTTCTATCTATATCTTGAGCTGACTCAAATTGTGATACGATCAGAGCCTAAAAAAATACTTTATAATAATTAATTTAAATAATTGAAATATTTTTTAGCTGGAGATGTATTTCTATCAGTGTATTGATATAATATTGACATTTAATTAAATAAAACAAAACAGTAACACAGAGTGGAACGATCATGTTCATGATAAAATTAGCTTATCTGCTGTCGAGCACTAAATATTTGCATATCATCGTTCACATCACCCATCCCAAAAAGCACCTGTCACTGAATACTGAATACTACTAGATGATTCACAGTTAAGCAGTGGACATTTTAAGTGTCAACTGTGACTAACTAAACTCTAACTAACTCCTGAATACCCAATGTAAGTGAAAGTCACATATACCACATATTACAGTATAAATCATTATGTAATACACGATGCACAATTAGTTGAAAAAATAAAGTGGTAAAATTAAAAAAATATTCTATGCAGTTTTATATAGTAACTGAAACTTCTTACCTTAAATTGATACTTAATCATCTAATGAACTGATCCCCTCTGTCTCTGTATCACTGTCACACTGACACTGATGAGACCGCAACCCAGTTCCTTTTCTCAGACTCATGCAGAGCCACATGGGTCACACAGTGATATAGCAGTATGTTGAAAGTAGCTTCATGAAAGGGCAGAATTGTTTGCATGTCTTCCTATATGTTTTCACCATGTCAACAAGAGGAACGTCCCACTATCTCCGTATCTAAGGGTAACATGTAAATATGCCAACTGACTCTCGCCTCCTGCAGAACATATTATCTAATAAGGTCTGCAGTGGCGGATGATTGCCAATATAAAAGACATACCTTCAAGATTGAAGACCCAAGACAAAAGACATTTATGTAAAAACTGCAGCGTTTCTGTTTAAAGTTTAATTTGTATGCCAAAATGACACTCACCTGCTCAACAGGATTCTGCAGCACCTTCTTAAGTGTGACTGGTGTCCCCCAGTCTCCACCTAATCCTTGTGACTCCTGTGTACGTCTGTCCCACTGTGAGCAAATGCTGAGCCCTCACCTCAAAATGAATGGAAAACATATTTTGGAAGATGACCCAACACTACAGGGATCCTGCTCCTGTCTGATCGTCCAATCACAGTGTCGAGACGAGGGTGTGGAAGCTGAAGATCTCCCTCTGGATGCCACAATGTCTTGTTTGGCCTCCCGTACATCCATCACACCTAAAGTTAACAAATAATCATAAAACAAAGATGAGAAAGATCATTTGAATGACATGAAAAAGTGTGAAAGAGAGCTGGCGTTGGGGGAAGGCACTGAAATATAATACAGATTTGTGTAAAGGACGTGTTGTGGCAAGCCATCATCCATTCACACCGATCGGCAATGATGCAACAAACCAATGGTGCCTGACGGAAAATCGGCGGTAAACAACTGATGCAAGATGCAGTCCAGAAAATCACTTCTGATTCAATTCAGTGTAACGATGTGTAATATGTTACGTGAGGCTGACATGGTTCAAGGTGTGAAGTCCGTTGATGGGTCGGTGCTGCACCCAACATGCAAAACGGACCTGTATCTCAACTAACAACAGATCACGCCACGATTCACCCTCACAGTATTTAACTGTGTTTTTAAGTAGTGTTAGGTCGTTATTGAATGACCTCTCAGGTCACCTTTGGCCTTTTACTCCAATTTTATTAGATCCTAATTGCAATGCTAACATAGTCAATATATAAGACTCTATAAACATGTTACAATAAAGGCCTGTTGACTGTTTTACCATCCATCACTTCTTCATTAATGTACAGGCGATACAGTGGTGTTACAGTGCGTTGTTCTGTGTGTGTCTGTTTGAACAGCTCTGTTGAAACTCGACCCAGGTTTGTTTACCTCGTCTGTCGGTCTCTAAACTTGTTTGTATTGGTGTCAGGTTTACAGGAGATGTGTCTCCCTCCTGTAAGGTAGAAGATTCTCACAGGGTTTTGCTAAATTCTACATTGGAGCAGAAACACACACACGGCAGCACACAGCTGCTTTTGTCCGCACAAGACTCATTTCAGAGATCATTGGAGATTCTTAAAGTTGTAATTTCTCATCATTGATTGTATGAAATGAACACGATATTGGCAGATGGGTATATCATATACCCATCTACCGTATATGCATTTGCTTGTATTTCCCTGCCACAAACAGTAGAAGAGATTCAAATAGTTATTCTGTTTGTTTAGTTTAGTTCTTCTTCCTGCATAAAGCACCAGTCTACTATGCACAGATCCAAATAAGAGGTGCACAAATTTGAGTTTAAGCACTGTTTGTGTGTAAATAATATTAATTACCATATATTTTTATAGCAGGAAGGATTTGAAAAAGAGACAGATTAACTACATGTAGATGACTAGTTGTATGAAAAACAGGACAGACATTTGCAAATCTAATTTTGATTATGAGGTTACAGAGAAACCAGTTGAAGTTAAAGATCCCCACCAGAAACATTTTACATTGTATAAAAATACTGTTTTGAATTCTGTGATCTTTGCAGTCCTACATGAGCACATTCTGTCAAAATAGCAGGTTGTCTCCTGTCCACTCTCAGTGAATGTGACCTGGAGGTTTCAAGTACCCAGATCACACGTGTGTTAAGTTGCATATTGAACCGTGATTGGCTTCCTGCTTGTACATTCACATGTTAAAATCAGATTTTAGGTGAGCACGGAGGAACTTTCTCCCTAAACTCTGTACATACTTTATCGTGAACGGTGAAGCTTAAACATCCGAGTGAACCACATTTATGAGTAAAAAGTGGGCTTTAAAAATGTCAATTTGCAAATATGTTGCGTATGCAATGAAAAAACTGGTGACCAACATGCAGTAGAGCTGGAATTATCAGCTGCACCCATCCACGATTCACTGCACCAACTGTCCAATTTTCCAGTTATACTCCTCATTAAAAACAAAGCAGAGCTAATCACATCTGAGGGTGAAGTGCAAATGTGGTGCATGAATTACATCAGATCATTTTCACTATCTAGGGACATTTCCTAGTCAGACCACCCGGAAAAAAGCCACTGATTCTTCGTCTAAAAGTTAAATAAAATAAAACACGTCTTTTAAAAACATAAAATGAGGAAGCAGAAAAGGAGAAGTTAAACCACTGAGAAGCATGAGTTTCTCAGATAAGGTTATGGTCTTCCATTTTCAGAACAGATGTATCAACCACATCGGTTTGATTGAGACTTGAGATAATGAGAAAAATACATTGAAAAGAACCATAGAACCTCATCTAGCATTTGTTTGGTGGTATTTAATATTTTACATTTTATCAGAGGTTTGAGAACTCTTGATAGGAAGCAGAAGGAAAAGAGTTTCACTCACACATAATGCAGTTCGAGCAGCAAGAAACAATACAATCAAACAAATGGAAACAGACATCAACAATATGTTAAGCGCAGTCTTCCCAGCAGTACCATACAGATCCATTATAAAACTACAATTTTTTTTTCTTCTACCACCACCCACTAACTAAATATTTCTCTTGTAAACTTGTGGATGGCTGAATGGTTTTACAGTTTTAGTCTAAAGCCAACGTGGTAACGACGTGTTTTTTTTACATCTGCGCTAACGTTTAATCTCCAGGTTTCAAACAGAAATCTCTTCAGAAGATAAATATTTTTAAATTGAAAACATAACCCATGCAAAGAATCCACTGTAAAGACATACAGGGGATGTAGCACTAGATAGCCAAAGTGATTTTTTTTTCCTTTTTGTTTCTGACATGACATCAGAAGATCTCCCAATCGAGGAGCTCAGTCTCCGACACATTCACCCTCTACCGTGTTTATCCTCCTCAGCTCTCTTCTACGTGCAAACTTCCAAACTTCTCTTACCCATCTCTGCCTCTGCATCTCGATGGCTTGTTAGGCTTTCCTCCCATCTCTTTTTTTAATCTTTACCAAAAAACAAAAACCATCTCAAAATTCATGAAAGGTCTTAACATTAAACATACTATAAAAACAGCTCTTTGCAGTAATTCCTTTCCCTCTGTGTTTGATATTAAACACTCTCAAACCCAGAAAGCCAAATGTCCGGTAAACATTATCAATTTACATTAAAAGGAAGGAAAGACATGGGCAAAGTGTATCTTATTATTATTTAGATAAAAGTACCAAACTTAAAAGATTTAAACAAAAAATGTCACTGATAGGTCACAGCAAGCAGATGCAGCTGATGATTTTTGTTTTCGTAATAAATTGTGAGAATATGGCATTTTATTCCAACAGTAACCATCCCCCCTATTGTCCAATACCTTTTAGGACCATTAAGTTTATGTTTTTTTCCATTGCCTGTGCAGTCGAGCAGCAGAAGTAAAAAACAGAAGTCTTTTGGGAGTGGGAGTGGGAGTGGGAGTGGAGTTTTTGCATATGCTGTAATCATGCGAGCAATGGAGTGATGGGATCTCATGAGACCCGACTGGTTTCTTGAAAGTGTTCCAGTCTTATCCAGTTTGAGTGTTCACTCGGGAAATGTGAAGGCATAAAGTAAAAGAGTCTTTGGACTCTTAGGTCGAGTCATTCGGGTCAGGTATTCCTCGGAGTGTTCACATCTAGGTAGTGCATGAATTGGTTTGGAGTGGAGGGGTCACGTGCCGCTGCAGTCGAGGGTGTTGGCGTGCCATGGCTAAAGGTGCGTCACTGCTACAGGTGCAGGTAAACAACAGTCGGGTTCAGTCTTATAAAAGTTTTGCTCCAGACCAGCGGCATGATGATTCCTAGCTGAAACATGGTGATGTTATGGTGATGCATGGAGTGTAATTGTTCTCAGATGAAGGTGGAATCCATGGTGCTGGTGTCTTGGGCACTGCGGGCTCGAGCCTCAAAAAGCTGTTTTATCAAGGCCGACTTTTCTTGCTCCAGCTGGGCGATCCGCTCGCTCCTCTCTGTCACCTCCTTAATGAGGAAGAAGAAGAATGATTGGAGTGAAACTCTGGAAAAATCAGTACTGACTGGTAACTATTAATGACTTGTATCTATTGGCAGTATGTAGACTCTGTTAAACCTGTGTGAGAAGTCGGTTCTGGTCCTTCAGTCTCTGGATGGCTTGTGGAGGAGCTTGACCCGGAGGCTGGGGGTTAGCTGCGAGCGCTGCTGTCTGAGCAGCGCTGGAAGGAAACGACTGCTGGGAAACAAAGAGGAACCAGTGTTAAAGAGAAAAAAATAACTAAAACCATCCAAGATAAACTGTTACATATTATGAATAGAGCTGCTTTGTCGTTAAGTGTCATAATTTACCTGTCTAACATACCCAGCTTGTCTTTTTCGGGTTCAGACAGGAATTTCTCGACAGAAATAGATAGATAATACTTTGGCACAGCTGTGCCTTGAGCTAAATGCAAATAAGAATACTAACACATGTTAGTGTTATGTTTAGCATGAATGTTTACTATGTTCTCCATCTTAGTTTAGCACATTAGTATAATAGCATTTGCTAATTAGCACGTAACTATTGACAGTATATATTGTGGACAGAGATTCCGGGTCTGTGAAGTGAAGCCAACGCAAAAATGTCTTAAACCTGCAATCTTTACAATAGCCAGCAGGGGGCAGCTCCATGGGTTGCAAAACAGAAGTCTGATGGTATTGAGTGTTATGGAGAAAAGACCCTTCTTCTCACTGGATTTATTAGCTCAGTGAACAGTTTCCTAATGAGTTTATGGTCTCAATCTCTAGTGTCAAGTCTTTTTCCATACAGCATGATGTTCATTTAGTAAATTATGGTCATTTGCCATTTATAGTAAAATAGATGATAAAGCAGGGTATACTTAAGGGCGTGGCTACCAAGTCATTCTCAGTGAGTTTGTTTAGCTCAATGCACAAAGCTCAACATTCTGTCACTACGTTGCCTATTTCTTGTCTAAAATCATTTCAGAAACATATTTTATTGTATTGTTTATCTGTAATACGACAATGTCTGTGACAAGGAAAGCCAGCATTGTTTCCTGTTACGGACTAGTCGAAACTAAGCACATCCAATAAGTGCAGCTCAACTTGCAGCACGTCATTGCCGATGGCATGGGAGCCATTATTCCGAACCTGTGGCTTTAAAGAGATACTCCACAAACCAATGGGTGACTTCAGGATAGGTTCACACTTGCACTAAACACAAAATACAGCTGAGGCTGATGGGAATGCAGGCACTGTATTTCATAAACCAAAGGTTTGGACAAATTAAAGTTTTGACCTGATAATGGCGCTACATCAAAAACGTTTTTATAATTCATCCTGAGGGGGATATGAATGAATCTTCTAGTTGTTGATCTATTTCAGTCAAGACCACATATGTGGAACTCATGTTGGCTCCAGGGAAAAAGTCAGGAAATCCCCAAAGTCATTAGGATTCATTCTCTGGGGACCATAAAATGGCAATGCATCCAATAACTGGTCTGGTGCAGTATTTCAGTCTGGACCAAAGTGATTGGCCAAGTGGCAATGCCGCTATGATGCCTAGAAATCATCACATATAACCAAATTTTCCTTAATTAGCTAAAATAAAATTATAAATAGGTCATCTGATAAAACTGGCAATCATGAGAATCACTTAAAACAATCACATAAACACTGTGCAGTTCTAGTTTTGTGCTACAGTGAATCACAACAGCCATGATTGAGCCTAATAGTGTTCCACGGTAAAAACAAAGTATCCAAACATCTATAAAACTTTATGCATATATCCATCCATATGCTTAATGTGGTCTTAACAGCAATCCATCAACACTATTTAATGACTAGTTGAATGCTAGCCATTTAGATTGCCTTTACATACTGCAACTCACCATCCCACTGGAGGAAATAAGGTCATTAAGGCAGCGGTTGACTTCTTGCAATTTGGGTATTAGAACATTCATGCGACTCTGACTGGCTTCTGTGAAGAAATCCTGAGAGGAGAGAACATAAAAGACAATTAGTACGAAATTCAAGATAGTAGTGAAAAAAGTATTAGTCGGAGAAATGTCATGACAAGGAGGAACCTAACAAACCAAGGACAAGCTGTAGTCCAAGGAGGTTAACATAACATAATAAATAAGAGAAAAAGTTAGGAAGATATAAATTAACACTGACTGGTACTTTACTTTGTCGGGAGTACACAAGTCAGTCCCTCTAGGACTTTTCTAAAATTGTAATGCATGTTGCAAAAGTGAAAGTGAAAACTGCAAAAATTGTTCTGTTTGTGTTTCTGATTATTAATACAACATTTAGGGCAACTTGTTCCAGTCAGAATAAAGTGGTAGTTTGGCGACGTATGGCTCAACGCTTTGCACAGGGCACTGCTATGATTGGTGAAACTTGGTCAAATTTGCAGAAAAGTTGCAGTGATTGGACAAAATTGCAAGAGTTCAAGGAGATTGCTTGAATTTGCGATTGCAACATCACAGCTTCCTGGACGGACTGTCAAGTTCCCATTAACCTGCCTCATCTGGTTCTCAAGTTGGCAGTTTACTTTCTCAGAATGCCTTTCTCAGAATGACACGCTGCTCTGAAGGCATTTTATTTATTTATTTGATCTTTATTTGACCAGATAAGTCAATTGAGAACTCAGAGTGGGAAATTAGTACACACAAAACAATGATTTACTATTGAGTGGCTGGTGAATTTGAACATGTTTCTCTCAGTAGCTGGTAGATTTTAAAAAGCTAATTTCACAGCTTGAGAACTAATTCTCTTTTACAATAAAAAGCAATAAAAGATTTGGACAGTCATTGGAAAGAGGGGGACTTAAGCAACTCCATAGTTGTTAAAATAATATTTCAAGGACAGGGCAAAAAACAATGATAGATTACTGACTGTACTGTGTCTGTCTCTTTCTCTAACACAAAGTACTATACATCTGTATCCCAACAGATGTATAGTTCATAGATGTTGTATCAGTCAAATACAACAGGTTGCATCTCCAATACTTTTTATGTGTGCTTTTGAAAAGACCAGTGTTTGAACCGACCGTGCAGTGGGAGCTCTGGCCGACCTGCCGCTGTCTTTCTGTGACATTTTGGATTTGGCCCTGGTACCAGTCGCGGGCCCGCTCCACCACCTCCAGGCCCGCCAGCAGCGAGTCCTTCTCCTGCTCCAGCTCTTTCATTTGCTTCAACTGTGTAAGAGAAAGTTATATAAGGAGGGTGTGTTGTTGGAGAGTGAAAAATGGGGACAGGAAAGGGGTGAAGAGGAAAATGTGATTAAAAACAGACAAAAACAAACTCTGCCTGAAGCCACTTTCTGCACAGATCTTACATATAGAGACCCCATTGAAAAAAAACATTTAATTTTCATATTTCCCATGCCATCACTAAGAGAGCATTCAGGTCGCTGCCAAGATTAAATCTAATGATTGATTTCAGGATGCCGGCAGCCTGCATGGTAGACAAACTCCCATCTTTTCACAAGGGCATCTGCAGCAAACTCTTTTGTGCTGGCGGAGACAATGGCGCCATACCAATTGTGCCGGACTCTCTCTCCCATCCTGAACAATGTTTAGAGGAGCAATCAAGCCAGCGCCATGGCAACTGCACAGCAACCTAAGAATGGGGTAAACAGCGGACCCACTTCAACTATGGCTGCCCCGGTGTGTGTTAGTGTGAGTGAAAGAGAAAGAGGGAGAGATGCGTGTGTGTGTGTGTGTGTGTGTGTGTGTGTGTGCACCCCAGTAAGGCTGCATTGAGTTGTGCTGACCAGGCTGTCCATGCGGCACACAGCCACAGTCCAGGCCTCATTGCTGGCATTCAGCCACCTGGTGTGTCATCTTTCTATCCACACATCGCTCCATCCCTCCATCCCCTGTGTAGCTCAGTACATTCCTGTGATCATCGCTCATCAGCGCTGTTTAAAACACAGCCACAGCTCGAATGCAGGGATACATGTTGGAAAAATAAACTATAAAAGGATTTAAGAGTCTAATATCAAACCCTGTTTAACATATTTGGGCTCTTTCCCAAAGAGCCTGAAGGGAGAGTACACACAGAGGAACACAGGAAGGGGGGTTTAGGGGAATAGGAGGGGGTCAGAGGATCCGTGTCTAGAATGAAGCATGACCCAGTGTCATGAATGTGTGGTGGTCCACAGGCAGGAAGACCCACTGTTTAAAAAAGGAAAAAAACGAGCAAAGAAGAGGAAATACACACAGAGGGGGAGCAGAGCAGCAAATGGCTGAAAGGTTATGGAAAAGTCTGTGCATGTCTGTTTGTGCGCTTACTGAATGAGCAGGCATCAATACACACAACATCGCACATACAATAACATGAAACCCAGCTGTTTAGCCAAAAACACAAATAACAACATAACGGCCTTTCAAACTGTGTCTACAAAGCACCGTGATACAGTGTGGTCTGAACCTTGAAGCTCTACAATACAACAGCAGCTCAGAGGCAGTATACCAATCTATTTATAGATTTATTTGTCGACTTTTTAAATGGCTCGTTTTGTCCAACCAACAGTGTCAAACCACATATATTTAATTTAGCTTTATATTGAAGAGAGAAAAGCAACAAATCAACACATTTAAAAGAACTAGATTAACATTTCAGGTCACTGCTTGATCAGTGAAATATCAATCAACTAATCGACTCCTTTCAGCACTATCCATAGCCTTAAACTCTATCATTTAGTTTATGAAATGTTATAACACACTGAAAAATGTCTTCAAATAGCTTTTTTTTCTCTCAAACAAACAGTCCATAACCTAAAGATATTCAAAGTACAATGATATAAAATAGGAAAAAGTAGTAAATCATCACATTTAAGAAACTGTAACCAGCAAGTAGTCATCAGTTTTACTTGATAAACGACTTGAAACATTGCTGTTGTTAAGTTCTGGCAATCTACGAAACAATTAATCGACTCGTCTCATTAGTTAAAACCCTAAAGTGTGACAATACGACCGCAGTTTAGTGCCAACAAAGAGGCCCCCAAGTCCCCAAAACTAACGCAAATAAATAGTTTTTACTGATATAGTATTAGTCACTGAATTCCCCCCCGCTGTCACACTGAAATATCCAAACAACCTGACGCAAATCTTCAAATCCTGAAATCCACTCATTACAAAACCATCTCAAAGACGAGCTTTCATTTCCTTTGCAGCCATCTCTCCCTTTCCTTCTCTCCCTCTCGTCCTACTCACCCAGAGGAAAAAGTGCAGGGCCTTGCTGCTGTAGAGGCTACTGCTGAGGGGGATGAAGACGGTAGTGTAGGCAGCCCACACAGCCGTCCAGGCTGGGCCGGGTCGGCCGAACGAGTCCTCTATTTCTACCAGGCCCCTGGGCCCGACCCGGCTCACTACCATCAGGGCAACAGTGGGCCAAGTCGGCCTGGGTGGGTGGGCCGCAGGGGAGGGGGAGGAGGAGAGGGA